GGAGTCTGGGTCCTGCGTGTCTCCGGGGCAGCTCTTGGGGAGGGGTGATGAGATTTCCAGTGACCTTTCAGGAGCCAGGCCTAACCTGAATTGCTGAGACTGGGATTTGCCATCTGAATGTTTGCATGGCCAAGACTTTCCTAGGTGGGGGACGCAGAGCTGCCAGAGTCCGTCTCCTCTCCAGCTGGCACCTTCATGGACTGTTGTCCACTCTTGTGGGAAGGGCTACAGCATTTGTAGGGCCCAATGCAAAAAAAAAAAAAAACCCAGTGCCCCTTGTTCAAAAATCATTAAGAATTCTAAGATGGTGTCAACAGAACATCAAATTGAGGTGTGTGAGTAGTTAGGGGACACTTCAGGCACAGAATCCAGTGTAACTACTCAGGTCTCACAGCCACGGAGCTGGCCCTGACTCTTCCTGGACATCTCACTAAACTCTGTAACCCTCTGTCAACTGTCCAGAGGGTTTGGATCACACACCAAACACGGGGCATTTGGGAACCTTTGCTGTAATACGTTTTCTCTTTAACTGTTTATTGAGTGAATTGGGGAGCATTGGCATCCACGATACCTTCTTTGAGAAAGCCAATGTTTAGAGGGAGAGAAAAACGCACCTCGCAAGGAAGAAATTCATTATTCCTTGAGCTGACACTCAGTCGTGGCTGCCGACTGTGGACCTTCACTGTGCTGCGCATCAGGGGTATAGAAATGAATCAAATGCCACCAAGAGCACAGGATTTGCAGACACCCTGCTGGGATTAGAAACTGGATGTACCACTTCAGCGGCTGTGTGACCTCAGGCTAGTTTCTTAACCTCTCTGAACCTCAGGCTCCTAACCTGTCAAGTGAGGACAATCATAGCTCTTTCCTCAGAGGGCTGTTAGGAGGATTAAAGGAGTTAATCCTCCTATTAAGTGTACTAATAGGAGAGGATTTTTGAACAGTGCATGGCATAAAGGGTGTGCTATATAAATTATTATTTTCTCAGGAAATTTAAAGTCTAGTAGCAGAGATTCTCATGCACACACACACAGTGTACAAAGTACACACAGTAATTAATCTATTTAACAAGTAGTTAATCACATCTATCCCATCCCCGCTTTCTGTGTGGCACTGGGGGGATATAAAAAAAAGCGAGCTGTGGTCTCTTCATTTTCCGCCTCCCCCAAGCCCCAGTTCTGTGGGTGTGTGACAGCACAGCAGGACCCTGAAATGACAAAACCACTGTTTTAGAAAGTGCTATTATTACTTCTCTATTTTACGCAACGTAGAACGATGTGGGGAGAACAGATGCCCGGGAGAGACCCGCAAGGTGCTGGGTGAGCACGCAGCCAAGTGCCACCCGCTGGCCCCGAGGAGGTGAGGGGTCAGCAGAGAGTGGAATCATTTCCCTCTTCACCACGGACCTTGCTGGCATGTGGAGCAGACACAGCCTTCGGCCTCTGGCTGCGTGAATGGCAAGACAGAGCAAGGCAGAGCCCCATATTTGGCCAAGGAGAGCTGCACTGCACTACACACCCTGTGAGTCACCCTCCCAGCCCAGCAGCCCCGGGCTGAGCTCACAGGCCTTCTGACTCAGGCACTGTGGGGTGTCCTCATCTGGGCCGGGGGAAGGCTGTCCTGTGTCTCTGAGCCGGGGTCCCGCAGTCAGCATCCCCTGCACCTCCTGCTGTCAGCCTCTCTCAGCTGTGTGCATGCTGCATGATCCTCTGACCTGAGGCCCTGTGTGCAGATGCCTGCCACCAGCCCCCGTCCAGAAGCAGATTCTGAAGTGTTGACTTCTCCATGGGGAATTTCACTCCAGCCTCTTTGCACAAAGTGGGCTAGGAGCTGGGGTGATTCAGATGGGTGAGTGAAGCTGCCCGTGGGGGGAGGCACTATTATGGGATGGCAAACCACAGAGACCTGGCTGCTTGTGCCGCCCTGTGTGACCTGGGGCTGCTCACTGCCCCACTCTGGGCTGTGCTGCAGGGAACATTGATGAGTGTCCAGCGAGACAGGGCCTGTGGAGATCAGCCAGCTCAGTAAGGAGAAAATACAGGGACGAGGCGCCGTCTTTTGGCCCCTGGCCTCTCCCTGTGTGGTCCTGGAAACACAGCATCAGCCTCACCGCAGAGTTTGTTAGAAATGCAGACTCTCAGGCCTCCCGTTCCCACTGATTGAGAGCCTGCCTCACGTCCTGATAATTAACACACACACTCATGGATCGCATCCTCAGATTCGAGGACTGCTCCAACTTGGCTCATGTGGAATCTGGGAGGTTTAAACTCTCTGCTGCCCTGAGACACCCCCCCACTCCCAGTGATTCTGGTTCTGTCAGGCTGAGGTGTGTCATGCCCCTTTGGAGGCTCCCCAGGTGATTCAAAGGTGCAGGAGTCCCACTCGAGTGCACAGGATGATGCTGTGAAGTCGGGTCCCACATCTGATAAATGTGACGACACAACACTCAGCAGGCACAGACAGGAGCCCAGCAGACTGGGGTCAGCACCTATGACCAGGTGTATGTGGGGGATCTGCAGGGGATGGGGAGCCATCGCCAGGACAACAGGGCCCACCAGTTCTTGAGCCAACAGTGACGGCCACTGTGCCTGTATACATACCACATGGGGCCAGATCACCCAAGTTTTCAACAGACACCAAAAATACATCTCTAATTGGGATTAAATATTGCTTCAATTTTATTGTGAAGTACTGTGTGGTCCAAAAAGAATGGGCTGGATGTGGCCTGAAATGTGGTGGTTTGCAACTTCTATCCAAGCTAGGTTGACAAACTCTCCTGGTTTGACAGAATGTTCTGGCTTAAGCACTGGACATCCCAGACCAACCAAGATGGTGGGTCTTGATCTGCAATGTAGCTTACTGGTTCAGGAACATCGAGTTTGGAATTTATCTTTCTCAGGTCTTGATCCTGGCTCTGTCACTTACTTGCTGTGCAGTCGTGGTCATAACACTTGATCTCCGTACATGTAGTTCTTTCATTGGTAAAAGGAGGTGGGGGTGGGGGAGAGTAAGCACCTGTGCACATAGGCTTGTTGTGAGCATGAAATGAAGCCATTTACAGAAAGTGCTCTGAACAGTACCTGGCATTCAGGGAACGCTATGTGAATATAGCCACAATAGTGGCTATATGAATGTCAGCCACTATTATTCCCTACTGGATGATCAGGGAAGCCTGCCTAACTTTACCAACTTTAGAAGCATCTCAGGGCCTCCTTGGTGGCATAGGTGTTAAGTCTCAGCACTCTCATCACTGCAGCCTGGGTTTGATCCCCAGCTGGGGAGCTGGAACACATGGCACAGCAGACCTCTTCTGTCTCGCCCTCTGCTCCCCTCAGCAGTGGATTTCAGTGGATCCACCTGTTCTGCACCCCACTGTATCTCTGGTGAATCCTCTCACCCCCTGCACCTCTGATCTATATCCCAGTTCTCCTATGCAAAAATTTAAAAAAAGAAACATCAATCTCCTCTATTAAAAAAGATAAAAAATAAAAGTATCTCAGATCATGTACAGTGAAGTGATAAAAATGAAAGCTCTGATGGGGAAGACCTGACCTTGAGGACCACCTGCCGCCACCTTTGAGCTGGGTGACCCTGGACAGGTTGCTTAACTTCTCTGTGCCCCATTACCTCAATGATAAAGTTGGAGTCATCACACCCATCTTCAGGAATGCTGTGAGGGAACGCGAGCCTCACCTGGGAGAGATGTGTTCTTATCAGGCATTGTTCCTGCCTCTTCATGCTCAGGGATGTCCAAAAAGAGTCAGGTAATTTTTAAAGAAATGGCTATAGTGTAATGATATATAAATGCTTCAGAAACCTAATCAATCACTTAATATTACACATTGTGTCATCTCAAAAGGAAGTAAAATTTATATTAGACCAGGCTGAACTTCAGCTATACCTGTGCTTAGAAAACTAGAGGCCTTTTTTATTATAATTTATAATTATAATTATATTTATAATTATAATTTATATTATAATTCTTATATTTTATATAAGAATATTATATATCACACATATATATTATATGTATTACATATTATATAATATTGTTATATATTACATATATAATATTATATGTATTACATATATATGTAATATTCTTTTGAGTATCTATTGCCCTTCTCCAAAAGAAGACTGAATTTCCTGTACTTTTCTGAACAAAAAGCCTTTTGCAAATAATTGGTGTGATTTTGCTGCAGGATCTTTACTTTTTATTTTCCTTTGAAAAATCACATGCAATTGAGCAGTTAGGTTGGGAGCCATGTGACTAAAATGATTTGCATCAGTTACCTATTGTTGCAGCATGATTCATAAACCACCCTAAAACTTAGTGGCCTGAAATAACAACTCTCTATTTAGCTAATGATCCCGCCACATGTTCTATCGTCTAGGTCAGGCTTGGACGATCCTGGCTGTGCTCACTCATGTGTCTGCTGGGCTGTCTGGGCTCAGCGGGTCTTACTCACATGTCTGATGGTGGGTGGTTATTGACTTGGGGGGGGGGTGTCATCTGTCAGCGGGCTGGCCTGGGCTTCTCCACACGCTGGCAGGGCTCTGAGACCCTAAGTGGGCAAGTGCTCTCCAGACCCTAGGTTGGCTCCTGTTTGTCACTTTCCCATTTACCAAGACACGACCCACCATCTATTCCAGAGACAGAGAGGGAAGGATACTGCCCAGAGCTTGGATTTGAGGAGCAGTGAAGAAATTGGGGCAGTGACTGGGGTCAGTCTATTGCATCACCTTTAATTAAGAACAGATTGAGTCATATAGTCAGTGATCTTGTTTTCTTTCTCAGAAAAATGGGGAATAAAATCTAAAAATGACCCCTCAACTGACTACGAGTGTGCCAGCAAACCATTAAATGTTTTCTTTTTTCTTATTTTGCATTTGAATTTTATTGCTTTTCCCTGATTTTTCAGGTACTGGACTTCTGTAAAATATCTGTTAAAGAAAGTATGATTTAAGTTAGGGGAATCCTTCATAATTCTGCCACTCCGGAGATAACACCTGTTATCAATTTGGTATGTATCACTTCAGTTTTTTTTTCTATATATGTATTAACAAATGTCACACATAATGTTCCTTTATAGGAATTAATGCGTTCAATTCATTGGATGCATATGAGAAAACTAAACAGCAAAGTCCCTGCTCACATGAAATAGTATCATAAAGATTAAAAGCAATTTGTCCTCTTTCCCCTTAATATAGCTCGGCTTTATTACTTACACTTATTAAATTTGTATATTGTGGCAGGCACTGGAATAAGGGCATTGTACACATTATTCCATTCTAATTAATAGTCACTAGAACTCAATGAAGAATGTATAATCATTATTTTCTTTTATGGGGAGGAGATTAGACAGAGAAGTCAGGGAGTGTGACAAAGCTAGTAAGTGGGGGAATTAGAATCTGAACCAGATCTAACATCTGGCTACAAAGCCCACACGCCTAACCATTTGTCAAACTAACTCTTAATTCCAGTAGAGCTACCTCCTTTTTTTTAGCAGTTGTATTCTACTATGAGAGCATTTGTAAGTCATACGTATTCAAGGGAAAGAATAAGAATTAAGAATTAACCACTATTCAAAGTGTAATTAAAATACCTGCCTCTCCATTTTCCCCCATGTGTTTTGTTTTTATTCTTTATTCCTGAAAAGATCCCCGCTACTGTCTTTCTTGTAACTAACTTCTATTCACCCCTCAAAACCCTCTGCAGATGGCATCTCCTCCAGAAAGTCTTTTTCAACCCATCATCTATGTTAGGTGTTACCCTCCATGATCTGACAGTTTTTAGAACTTTTCTCAATCATGACACTGATTTTTCCTTGTTGTAGACTTTTATTTGGCTGCCTCATCAATTTGATAATGACCTGCTAGAAGGCAGATTCTCAAAGTTTCTTTCCTTTGTGGATATATATAATCTTAGCAGCTAGCATTTGGTTAAACCTAGCATAAATGCTTATTCAATTTAACTGAATGAATTCATAGAAGGGCTTTGTGTCTCTGGCACCTTTTTTTTTGTTTATAAAATTTTTATTGATTTACCATTGGTTTACAATACTATATAATTTTGGGGAGTATAGCTTCACACCTCAGTATGTATACATACTACACCGCACACACCACCATATTCTTAGAATGGCACATAGCCTATTAAAATTAGTTAATAGAGCTCATTTTATAGGTGAGTAAGCTGCAAATTAATTTTTATTCTGGAAATAACATAGGCACATTGTAAAAATTCAGAAGCAAAAGATATACCAAAGAAAAATGCGGTTCTCTCATTTTAGACCCCTAATTCCGCTTCCCAGAGGTAATCACCTTCTGTGGTTTTGTATGCATCGTCATTCAAGTTTTTCTGTGCATCTAATCCATATATGCACAGTCTTAAAAATACCACAAATAGTAGCATATGGTAACCTTGTTCTGAACCTTGACTTTCACATTTAATTTCATGTGAACGCCTTTCCATATTAACAAAACGGACCTTCTTTTTAAAAGTAGCCACCCAGTATCAGTTGTAGAAATTAAACCATACTTGGTTGAGCTGACCCTTACAAATGAACTTTTAATTTGTTAACTCTTGTTGTTGAATTTTTACTAGTGCACTATTTCTATAATGAATATTCTTGTATGTCATTTTTGCTTTCCTATTTGAGTTTCTCTGCAGGGTAAATTCCTAGAAATGGAGTCATTTAAAAGCTTTTTTGTGTTTTTTCAAATAACCCTGCACAGAATATAGGCCTATAGGAGAGGAATTGCACCAAGGGCCGGGACTCACTTGCTTTGCTAAACTTTCCACTTCAGAGGACATAAAACCATCCGAAGTCCTTCTCAATTTGGGGGATCACGTGGTATTTGGTGGGCATCAGGCCATCCATAGAAAGGTGAAAGGGTTGGTTTTCCTCTCCTGTCACCTTATGGTACTACTGTTGAACCCTGGAGTTTGGGGTCTGAAGCTTAAGAAATAAAGACGTTGGACGATGGGAAGGTATTCTGGGGATCAAGCATTACTTAGAACTCTGATCTCCAGTTCATCAGAACCCCTTTGATGTCCCTAAACCTTCCAGGGTCCTGCCTTTGCTCTGTCTCTGCCTGAATGGTAGGTCCACCCTTCCCACCCCAGGGGGCTCCTACCCAGCTTTCTTGACTTACTTGAGATATCACCTCCTCCATGAAGCCTTCCTTACTTCCACTTAGAATCATTCATTCCTACATTTATGAGTTCAACATAGAGGATTCTTTTTTTTTAACAACTGCTGGATCCCGAGTACCATTGAGACCCCTTGGCTATCCCTTCATACTGTTACAGGGTTCCACAGCACAGAACTGGGATAGAGTCTGAAGGCCTGAACCAGATCACCTGAGTTCAAATCCCTGATCTATCACTGGCTCCAGAGATTTCACAGCCAAGGCGGAGCTGCTCAGTAGACAGAGGGCTGGGTTCTGCCAGCATGGCTGTCTCTCCGTGGGCACCGGGTGATTGATCTGCTTCATTCCCTTAACATGTCCAGGCAAGGAGTGTGTGATCAGTGGAGGTTTCAGGGCCTTCCTGAGGTCACACAACAAAGGCCCAGCAGGACCATAAATGCTGGGTCTCCTCATGTCCAGTGGAGTATGGATTCCAGAGGATCATGATCATCCCTGGAACAAAGTGGGAGAGGTGTTGGGGAAGGTTGAATGATGCTCTAGTGAATGAGCAGAGTTCATGTCATCATTCACTCATGCATTTACTTGTCGCCTAGATGTAACACTCCCGAGATCCAGGCACTGTACTAGGCACTGTGTCTGTAGTGGTGACAGTGGATGCGGTGCTTGCTGACAGTCTAGAGGGGAGGCAGAAAAGAAATGATCATCCACACATGGAAATGTGTTTCCAGAAGGAGGTAAGTTAGGATGCGGGGTGAGGATGTCTGCCATGGCCCTGCCCTCCTGGTCTCCCTGCTGTGGGAATGCTACGTTCTCAGTGGCCCTGGGTATCAAACTGGGGGTGCGGGAAGTTTGGGGACCACTCACTGTTAATCTAGAACCTGAGTACCAGGCAGGCAAGAGGCCACAGCTCATGCCTGTTCAGAGTTCAGAGTCAGGATGGAACAAGGCGGAGGATAAAAAAACAAACAGGATAAATTTAGGGACACACTGACAGCTGTTTTGAAGTTCTATTTTAGGAATTTCATGAGCTCTGAAGTGATGGAGCGATTTCAGGCATGCCCTCGATTCATTATTCCACATGCAGGGCAGTGCTGAGAATTTGGGCCAGGCCTAGAAATAAGCTAGGAGGGTGTGAGCACTGGCAGGAAGGGAGGGAGGGAGCTGGCACAGGCAGTGGGGCTGGAGAAGGAAGCTGAGACAAAGTCCTCTGTTCTCTTCTCGGCCCCTGGATGATATTCTGTCTCTACAGAGAGGAGGGAAGAGAGTTACTGCCCTCCAGGAAGCTCACTTTAGTGGTAACAGGGCCAGGACATTTTGTTGGGGAGTGTAAGACCCCCCCCCATAGTTGACCTATGACCTCACCGTTAGCATCAAACCGGTCAAGTTCAAGAGGACTGTTTTCTTCTGATCTGCCAACCTTGCCTTAAAGTTAAAAATGAGGTGCTTCATGTTTATCCATTAGGTCTTATTTTTTTTTCAAAACATGTTTATTGACATAAAGTGTTTAGATCCTCGTAGCTGCTTTGCGGGTTATAAGCTTTATTTCTCATGGATTATTGTTGAACAACTGTCTGGCACAGGGCAAGGCAGTGGGGGTACTGAGACAGTGTCTCTGTCCTTGAGAAGCTTTCTTTCACAGTATGGGGACAGAAGGCACCCCAACATTTTCCAGCAGCGGTGGGGAACAGAGGATTGGAATGAAGCAGCAAGTGAGTCTTTTAAAGTCCTGCATAGTTCTGTGGTCTGGGTGTGTTTTTGAATAGTCTCTTTTAAAATTGTTAATTTATCTCATGATTAATGAAACTTGGAGTCTTTGCTTTGGCTGGAATGAAGTTGGTGCAGGATGTGAGATCCTGATCAGAACCTTTGATTGGCCTCTGATGACATCCTAGGCATTTCTAGAATGTGACCAGCAGATCAAAACCATGGTGCCCAATGTGAACACATCAGTCATTGATATACCACGCACACACACACACACACACACACACACACACACTCTCACCCCACAACCTTGATTAGTAAGAAATGAGGAAATGTATTTGTTATTACTCAATAAGCGCAGTTTGTTTGTTAGACAAAATCTTTCAAAACATGAAGTCCAAAGGGAAAAATTATGAAAGGGGCCCTTGAGAATGAAAAGTGTGGGAACGGCTGATGTCGTCCACTTGTCTGATGGAAAACTTGATCCTTTTTACCTCCACCAATGCAGGGGCCTCTTTGCCTTCTTCCAGCAGTGGGATCTCTCTTCTCTGGGAGGGGAGTGGTGCCTCATCTGGGCTCCATTTACACCTGTCCCCATCCCTACCACCATTTAATTTCTCTAAAGTGCCATTTTCTACCCACTCTTTTGATAAATGAGCATGTCCTTTGGGCAACTTGGTTGCACACTTTGATTTTCAAAATTGTCATTTTCGTGATGAAGGGAGCAGGCTGCGTTGGAGCATTGGAGAGAACGTGAAAGTTCACCGGCACCTGGTTCTCTCCTCTCTGGACACAGGGATCAGCCACATGTCCCAGCCTCCTTTGAGGCAACTGAGAGCTGCCAGGTGAGTCACGTTGTCCACTGGAGAGTGGCATAAGTGACCTACGGCGTCTCCTGGCCTGGCTGTGCACATTAAAATACCCTGCGATCTGCTCTTCCAGGCGTTCCCCGTCTCTCATAGCTGGACGTGTCCAATCTGACCGGAAGCCGCATGTAACGGTGGACATGCCCTGTAAGAGCAAACTGAGCCCCTCTTGACTGCAGACACCATCCTTGGACTTGGTGAGTTGAGAAATTCACTTTTTTAGTGTGAGGACCCTGCGATTTGGGGACTGTTTATAACAGTTGCCAACATTGACTCTCCCGAGGGGCCAAAAAATAATTTCACTTCTTCTTTTCTTGAATTCAGAACTAAAACAAAGATGGAGATGAAATATAGACTCTTGTGCTGCTAAAATTCCATGGAAAGGTGGGGCACAGTGTGTGATCACAACCAGGAGGCTTCATAGTGCTGTTTTCTAGCATTGGACAGACTTGACCACCCCATGAGTGGAAACTCCGATGATTCCCAGAGCTCCCTGACATGGATCTGACCCTACAGGCAGATCCTAAAGAGAGAGAACCCAGAAGCGATTATCTGTTTCTTCCCTTTATTTCACTGGTCCAGTAAGCACCTCTCATGAGGAGTGAGCCCAGAGGGGGAAATCAGGCGGGAAGTGTTACCCTGGGCAAATTCCTTCCCTATGGCAACATGAGAGCAGGAAACCAAGGTTTCACCCAGGATCTTCTCAGACATAAATGTTCATGACTCCCTGTGGGTGTAAGTTCCCTGAGGACAGGAGCCATATATTCTCTTCCTACTGCCTCCCCACAGTACCTAGAGCAGCACTAGGCACAGAGCTGGTGCTGAGTTAACACTTACCGACTGACCGGTCACACCTCATGAGCTTATGTGACATTTCCCCCACTGGTCACTCCAGAAGGAGCAGAAATTGCTGTGGTTTGACCCCTCACACCGCCAGTCCTTGCCTAACCCAACAATTTGGGAGTGTGAAAGGCCACGCTGATGACCCAATCCTTCCTTGGGGAGCTACGAGTGCTCTCCTTCTGCCCACCAAGTCCCATGCCGGGCAAGACACTTGACCCTGCTAAGTTCCTGGCCAGACCATTGCCCTGGGGTCACTGGGTATGTCTGAACCCCACTGTAGTTGTCACTTCCTCAAGTCAGGGGCTGAGTCTTGCTTGGAATGTGAGTTGAGAAGGTTCTTCACCAGGTATTGCCTCAAATAGACAGGGGTTCATTTTTCTCTCTGCTCACAGAGATTTTTCTCTGTTTCTTCTGGGCAAGAAGGCAGACCTGGAGCAACAACTATGTGATATCATTTATGTCCCAGGCTCCTTTGAACTGTCTGTTTCACCCTCACTCATGGCTGCCCTCCTCAACATAGACTTACCGGTGTAAGATGGCCACGGCAGCCCCAGCTCCTAGATCCACATTCCAGGTAAAAAGAAAGGTGAGGGAGATCACAACTCAAAGTCTCCAAGTCAAGTCCACTCACCTTCTTTAGAAATTTTTCTGGAAATGCCGCACAACAAAGATTTCCTAGTCTATACAGGCCAGAGTACTGCAAATAGTCACATATTTCTATGAAGGTGCCTGGGAAATAGAAATTTCCAGCTAGTTCCATTGCTTCCCCTACAAAATCAGGATTTGATATTAAGAGAGAAAGGTAGGATGGGTAGTGGCAGGCAACTTGGAGTACGCACCTCACCCATCTCTGCAGCACTGACCACATAGTAGGTACATCTTTGCTTCCCTCATTCATTCATTCTTTCAAAAAATGTTCACCAGTATCTACTCAAGGCCAGGCATATGTCTGCATGTTGGGGAGGGAAACAATATAAAATAAACAGAAGTCTAATATATCAGGCAATGTAGGTACTCAGGAGCAAAATAAGTAGGGAGCAGCAGTGGTGAGGACAATGCTAGCTTGTGTGGTCAAGGCCTTTGAGAGAAGGTCATGGGTGCGGGAATCTGAATGAACTGAGGAAGTAAGACTAACAGGCACTTGGGGAAGAATTTTATCTGCAGAAGCCCTGGTGTGGGAGTATGTTGGAATGTTCCAGAAAAGACAGCCACCATGAAGAACCAGTTAGGAACCAGCCTATGTTTAACTTTGTAGGCCATGACAAAGTCTGAAATTTCCTCAAAGAGTGAGTGACTTGGAGAGAGAGCAGGTGATGGCTATGTTCAAATCCAGCTGCTTCCTTCTTCCTCTCTTTTCTGCCCACCGAGTTAGACATTTGTCAGACATTTCCATCCTATTCGCTATGTGTTTTACCGTCTCTGGAGAGTGTTCTCGCTGGAGAAAAATACTCTCTCTAGAGAGCATTTTCTTTAGGTTTTGTTTTCGTTAATTTTCCCTTCAGATGTGTCACTATTTTGTGTAAGCAATCCGTTGGGGTTTTCATTTTAATAATTATACTTCCTCATTTCTAGGGCTTCTATTTGGTTCTATTTCAAATCTGCCTGGTTGTTTTTTTTTTATTCCTTTGCCATGCATTCTGTTCTTTTTTATTTCAGTAGATTCATTAAGCACAATTGCTTTATATGTTGTATCTGTTCATTCCAACATCTGCAGTCTTAGTGGGGCTGATCCCTAGCTTGTTGATTCTGCCCATTAACTTTTGAGACTTTATTTATTGGGGTGTTGATGATTTCTTTCTGTGAGCTCGGCTCCTTGGAACACTATCTGTGGTGATTCTTTGAGGCTTAGCTTTAAAGTGTACACCTCCAGGGAATATTTGTGGTTTGTTTACGCTAGGTACTGGGTCTATCTGGTTGTTTGGGGCTACACAGTCGATGTGACTAATGGTTCCAAACACTGAATTTGGGCTTGTGGTTAGGAATTCTCAAGGGAAAGCAATTTCCTTTGTTTCCTTGTTTCTGCATCACCCAGAGCGAAAGCCTAGCCCAGTACCATCCAGTGAATTTTTATTCTTTGTTCATCTACTGAGATTGCCGTTTTTAGGGATTCTGACTTTTTATGGGACTCTCCAGTCTGACCTCCCACCTTGCTCCCATGCTCCCCACCTGCCTCCCCCCAACAAGCTACCTTAAGTCAGTAGGGATCACTCAAACCCTGGGCATATGTCATCTCCACTGTTAGCTTCCACCGACAGCTTCAAGCTGTGTCACTGCTTCTGACCTTTAAGGGATTTCTTTTCTGTTGTGCGAGCTCAGCCATTTATTAAGGGATATGTTTTTCAAAAAAGTTGTCCATTATTTTGTTGTGCTAACCTGGGTGGATTTCTATAGTATTTTAGGAAAATCACATTTTGGCAGGACAGTCTGGCTATTGGGGTGGGGGAGAGGTGATAAGGAGGACCATCTCACATGGGGAGACCATACTGCCATCACCCAGGGACCAGATATGGTGGACTCCAGATATGGTGGGACAGGGAAAAATGGGGGGTTAAAAGGTGGGGGTTAGAGTCATCGTTTTCAGTTGGTTAGGACAAGATTTACTGAGGGTTTAGATATGGACTGTGAGAAAAAGGGAGGAGTTGAAGTTGATGCCAAAGATTTTGGGCTGAGTACCTGAGTTTAGGGTACAAATTGCAGGAATGAACAAATTGCAGGAATGAACAAATAAGGTAGCTGTGGATGGAGAGGGTTGGAGTTCTTTTTCTGATCATTCTTGGGTTAATTTAGCAGCAAATTTCTAGACCCTCAGAGATGAGAATCAGATGTTGAAGGGAGGCTTGCAGGAGACTGCCCAGGTCTGACAAGCACTCCCCCTGTCCTACCTTGACCCTTCCCAGTAAGCCGGCTGCCCCCTTACTATCCAGGTTTAAATATAAATCACAACAAGCCATCCTGGGTCATGGGGAGTGAGTACCCCAGCCCTACATATGTGCCCACACTCCATCAGTGGTTCCCAGGCCTTTAGATTGTGGTGACTTCAAAATTAAACCAATACCAGTCATGGACGAAGGGACACACACGATGTGGTTTATACACACAGCGGGGTATTATTCAGCCTCATAGGACAGGAAATTCTGACACGTGCTACAAAATGAATGAAACTTGAGGGATTATTTCGAGTAAAACAGACCAGCTATACAGAATGAATGCTGCACGGGCTCCACTGTCCCTGGGGCAGTCGAAGTCATAGAGTAAAACAGAGGTGTGGGTGGGGGCCGTGGTGGGGGGGGTGTAGGGGGAGGGGAAAAAGAGGGATTATTGTTAAATAGGCATAGAGTTTTCACTTAGGAGAATGAAAAAGGTCTGGAGATGGATGCTGGCGATGACTGTGGAAGTGTGGATGCGCTTTATGCCGCTGACCTTCATGCCCCACTTCAAAATGGTGGGGGAAACCAAAACCAGCAAACCGACATCATAAAACTGTCAACTTTTAATTTGTCTATTGAAGGCATTAAAAACCAAACTGCCATTTGTTGTAATCATGTCACCCAGAGAAAGGAACATTGTAAACCTCAGGAAATCAAGAAAGATGTGTTCTTGGGAACGGGACAGGAATAGCTTTAATAAAACACACTGCTCCGATTTCCTTCAGTTGCTCGTGGACCGGTGGGCCAGCGGCAGCAGATTCCTGGGGTGTGCATGACTCCCCGATGGGGAGGATGAAGAGGGCCTCAAGGGCCCTTCGGGAGAGTTCGATTCAAGCCCCTTCCAACCCGTTTGTTCGGGGGGGAAAGATGGGCGATTAGAAGGTGGACTAGGACACGGAGGAACACCACACGGTGTGGTCGTTCTTGCTGCCATCACAACTAGGGTCCCTTCTCCTGGCCGTGCTCACAGCTGCCCTGGTTTGGATGCTGCGTGGTGAGGACACCCTGGCTGTTGCCTGCTGTGCCGGAGAAGCCCTGGAAGGAACTGCTTTGCCAGGACAATCTGCCTGGCCGGCGTCTGGGTGACTGTGATTGTAACGGGCC